TACGTTAGACATCATTATACTCCGTCTTGTACGGGCCCAGGACTCAGTAGCTTTGCTGGCCAAAGATCTTGGGTTCACTCCTAGCAGAACCAGCCCATGGGCTGTCCTGCAATAAAACGCTTTGCTGTTTTCTTTATATTCGGGTTTATCTCAGCATTTAGAAAATTGCAAAAGGTTAATGTTAGGAAAGACATTCGTGTTCCGTTCTCTGTAGTTTTGGAAAAATCGGGCGGCCGTTTCATTTTAAGGCACGGTCTCGGAAAAGGAACAAGCCAGGACGGTGACTACGAAGATTTACGGTTTGCCTTAGAAAAATGCATATGAGGGAAAGTAGGAGCAAGATTTTTTAAAATTAATTTTTATGGAAGATTTTTTTACAGAGTAAAACAATACAAATTTAAAGAAGAAAAAGAAGATTGATAAATAAGAAATAAAGAAAAAAGAAAAGACAGAAAAAGATATAAAGAAGCAGCTTCCGATCTTTAGAGCAGTTATAAATGCATTTATATTTTATCCTCTCACTCTAAAGTTGTATGGTGGCTCCATTCTTTCCATATTTTACCCTTTCTAATCATCAAACCCATAAATCACAAGTTCATTTTTTTTTCTGTTTTCAGCAAAAAGTCCATCAGTAAAGGGTTTCCAATCACAGACAAATGTAGTTGTTGTCTTTACCCTGACCAAACAGGTCAATTTTGCCATCTCTGCAAATTCTGTCATCTTCACCAACCATTCCTCCATTGTGGGTATTTCAGAGTCTTTCCATCTTTGTGCATATAATAATCTCACTGCAGAGGAAAAGTAGGAACAAGATTTTGGCTGGCAGAGTCAGCCAATCAGGGACCTCTAACCTGTTTCATCAGCCAGTTTATCTTACAGTACATAACTATAGGTCCCTGGGTTAAGAATGCCTGGTTTACGGACGGCCCATAGTTAAGAACGGAGCTTATTGTAGCAAAATTTGAGTGAAATACACAACGATTCGAGTTAAATACACAATGATTTGAGTTAATTACACAATACTACTTATACAGTATTCTACAATAATACTGTTCCTGCTTACGTATAAATTCGACTTAAGGACAGACCTTGGGAATGGAACTCGTCCTTAAACTGGGGACTACCTGTATATAGGTGTGTCCCATTGCTTCAGGCAGCATTTTTCAAACTTGGCAACTTTACGATATATGGACTTCAACTCCCAGCATTCCCAGCCAGCATCTTAAAGTTGCCAAGTTTGAAAAACACTGGCCTAAGGAATATTATTTATGGTATTAATCTTACTGGTTTTCTAAATGTCACCCTTTGTTCATGCAGCTGTAATTTCATTAATTCCTGCATTTTGGAAGGAATTTTGTATCCCGAAATTGGGTCTTTCCCCTCTACTGAGTTAAAGTGCTATCCATCCAACCTTAAGCTGGCAGAAAAATATACCAGCATGGAATTTGCTGTCCCTATTGTTGATCCCAGTTCCTGCCAGTCACCTGACTTCCTTCCAAGCCTAATAAATTTTATACAACTTGTGGCTGCCCTTGGATGGTCTTAGAATAAGATGAGAAATGTTCCTTTTACAGCTAAGGAAATGTTAATACAATTTCACTCACAGTGTGGGGATGAAGGCAGTGTTACTGATGCAAGGCAGAAAAAAAAGATGTTGCTAGAACTTGTTTCTGCTAGTTAGATGCAAATGGGGACATGGTTTTAGTCAAATGTTGTTTCAATGAATCTTCTCTAAGTGAAACTGATTTGGATCCATCCTATAATTTTTCATAGAAATTAAGCCATTTGTTAGATTATTTAAAATGTTGGTTTTAAGCTTATGGTGCTTAGTCACAAAATCTCATGGCTACTGAATCTTATAATGGCTAACACTGGAAATTTAAAGAAGCACTTAATGTCCCAGAGTAATTGAAAAAGGCTGAGCAAGTAACTTAATTATCACTATAATTCTTATTTAGAGATAGTTACATTTTTTCTAGTGTTTGCTATACTATGTGTACTCAGTTGGTTTTCCATTTCTGTTCTTCCTTGTTCAAAATTAAATAGAAAAGGAAAAGGTTAAATAGAAAAATCACTAAGGGAGTAAATACAGTATACTCCTTTATATGTAAAGGAGGGGAATAATGCCCAGTAATATTTTATATCTCCTGAGCATTAACAGAATATTTTACATGTTTTCTCAACTTGGCAGTGCCTCTTATACTTCCATTTCTTAACTGCAGCAATATAGAACAATTCCAGTTTTCTTTGACTTAAGCTATGCTAAGGATGTTATTAATAAATACTATTATTAACATACATTTGTATAACACAGAAACTATATGTATCACATTTCAGCAAATGGCAGTTAGGAGATTTCAGTTGCTAATTCCTTCAGACACTGCAAACATTTGCGTAGTGTTTCACTTTACATTTAGCTCCTGCTGCAGCTGGGCTTTCACACTGTACATTTTCTACCACCTAAAAGGCTGATTAGCACTGACAGCTGTAATGAAAATTATCAATAACAGATAACTGTTCTTAACACAACTGTCCAAAAGGCAACAGTAGTGTAGTAGGCAGTGTTGATAACAGCTAAGACATGATTTGTTTAACTATGATTTTTTAGTAAGTCACAATTTTATTGGATTCTCTCATTATTCTGAACCTAAGCTGTACCACATTAAGGCTTAGCTCAGCGAATGTATCTAACATTTGGGGACATGGATAAGATCTTAGAATTCAGTATCAAGATTAATTTCACACATGTCAAAGAAGAATGAGTTCTGCAATGAATCAGCATTTGAAAGGAACCATATAAAGAGTTGGGTTTTGTAGGAGGTCTTCAAGGCCTTGAATACAGAAGGTGGAAACTGAATTCAGTGAAAGACCAGTCCTGACTGTCTACCGATCCCACAGACCAAATAACATCAACTCCCTAATATTACACCACTCCCTTACCTCAGCTCTTTGTTCAGGTGGGTTGTGAGGAATCATTACTAACCATGTCCTCCTGCACAGAGAAAAGGACCTTGTCCAATATGTATGTGGACAAACTGACGGTAGCTGGACTCAGGATATATACAGATGACATTCAGTGACCTTGCTATGTCTTTGCATGCTATTTTTCTGTTTTGCCCTTGCCTCATTTTTTTCTCTTCTGTCTGCACCCAGACTTGGTGTGGTCTTGCGAGAGGGATCAGCTCCTGCTAGCATTGCCCATGACTCCCTGCTTTTACGTGAAGCTGGGAGGTGGGCTGTGGGATCCTGCCAGTGTTTTTGCAGAAGTACCAGCAGAATTGGCATTGCTCTGGTTTGCCTGTGCCCCATCATTTCCCTTCCATTTCACCAGCTGTGGGTGAAGCAAAGCAATAGTAAGGGTTGGAGTAGGAGGTGGGATGTGTTTTGTATGGTACAGCCTCCTTTGGATGGACTAGCCAGAGGCTCCCCATCCAAGCTGCAGAAAAATGGAAACTTCAGAAAGTTTATTTTTTCAGTAAAATATTTATGAAGTTGCATATTACACGACTAACTTCCAAAACTCCAGGCAGTTTACAGAGTAATGGGAACATAAAACATTGGATAAAATCAGTCCCACCCCTGGTAGACGTGGCGATTTCCTCTTCAACCACTGTAAGTTCTAGGAAAGACTTTGGTCTTCAAGACTCTCTGAAAAATTGTCAGAGAGAGCACCAGTTAAATCTTAGGAGGAAACATGTTCCAAAACATAGGAGCACATGCTGAAAAGCAGTATGTTCTTACTCCTCTTCCTCAGATCTCATATGGTGGGGGGATTCAGCAGCCCCCAGACTGAATATACTAGGTGGGGTGAGCAGGCAGTCCTTCACATATTCACATGCCAAGCCATAAAGAGCTTTATAGGTTAAGATCAGCTCTTTAAATAGAATGTGGCAGCCTACGGAAGCCAATGCTGTTTTTGTGTGTTTTGTGTTTCCTTTGTTTTAACGATTGTAAACCGCCCAGAGTCGCTGGGAACGGGGTGACACATACATTTAATAAATTATTATTAATATTACTATTATTTAATGCTTGCAGCACTGCTGTTGTATGGCACTGGTAGCTCTCACCTACCAGCAGGTGAACTATTGTATTTTGAACCAACTCTAGCTTTCTCGTAGTCTTCATAGGCAGTTCCAATGTAAAGTGCATTGCAGTAAACGATAACCAGAGATGTGTTTTGGGAGAAAAGGCGAAATCTCCTTTGGGTTGGGCTGAATTCCTGGTGATTTCATGGGCAAAGCCATGTAGCAACAATATGGACGTGGCAAGGGGAAATGGGACTGGTTGGATGCCATTTTTTACATCCCCCCCCCCCCCCC